AGGTGTACCTGAGAAATATGTGAATATTATCCGAGCATTAAATGCGCGTAGCTCGGGCAGAGTGAGGGCTTACGGCAAATTGTCGTCGCCCTTTAATATCTCCAGCGGCGTGAGACAAGGATGCCCGCTGTCACCTTTCCTCTTCAACTTCGCTGTTGACGAAGTCATGGAAATCGCGTTCACAGGACACGACTTTGAAGGTGTGGATCTGCTCCCAGGAGAACGACTTCTTGACTTAGAGTATGTTGATGATATTGCCCTAATCTGTGACCGCTCACAAACGTGTCATGCGGCACTGGACAGATTAGCACTAGCTGTCTGTCACTTCGGGCTTTGCTTCGCACCATCGAAATGCAAAGCGTTCCTCCAAGATTGGTCTGGACCGCCTCCTACGCTGACCCTCTGTGGGGATCAGCTAGAAGTCGTTCAAAAATTCAACTACCTGGGAAGTTGTATCAGCGCTCGTGAGATTAAGGATGAGATCACGAATCGTATGGCAAATGCTCGGGGCGCTTTTGCTAACCGTTGCTACTTATGGCGTCGGCGCGACATCACTCTTGCTCTGAAGGGTAGAGTGTACAATGCAGCGGTACGTTCGACCCTACTGTACGCTTGTGAAACCTGGCCGCTTAAAGCAGCAGACTTAAAGAGGCTAGTTACGTTCGACCATCGGTGCCTTCGTAATTTAGCTCACATCTGGTGGGAACACCGCGTGAGCAACGAGCGTGTTCGACGCCTTGTTTACGGCGCAGGAAAAGGAAATGAATCGCTCAGCACCGTCATTTCACGCACCAGGCTCCGATGGCTCGGCCACGTGTTACGCATGCCAGCGCACCGACACCCTCGATGTGCGTTATTTGCTCACTGAGGATGTGGATGGAAGAAGAGGAGGGGTGGCCAAGCGATGACTTGGTCCAGAGGAATGAAGGTCCTCACTTCGGAGCTGGCTTCGGTTGGAGCGTCTCGGCTCCCTGGTTGGGGTCCGAAAGACGATGAACACGTTTGGTTGGACACACTTGCTGATATGGTTAGGAGCCGACCTCAGTGGCGTTCGTGCTGTGAGTTTCTTTGTCCCACCCCATCCCTCTTAGCCTCCCCCATCATCACCATACTACACGTTAGCTGGAGATGGGGAACACCTCAGCTACTGTGCCGCAATACAAAAAAAGAAAAAAAGGAGAAAGAAATGCAACTGGTGCAAATCAGCTGAGCTACCGGTAACGGATGGGCATCGTTCCGGTAAGCTACCAGCCGGCTACTATGCATAAAAAATTACTATGCAAAATTATATAAGGCTAAATAATGAGATCGTGGTTGGAGGGGGAGGCTAAGAGGGATGGGGTGGGACAAAGAAACCCACAGCACGAACGCCACTGAGGTCGACTCCTAGCCATATCAGCAAGTGTGTCCAACCAAACGTGTTCATCGTCTTTCGGACCCCAACCAGGGAGCCGAGACGCTCCAACCGAGGCCAGCTCAGAAGTGAGGGCCTTCATTCCTCTGGACCAAGTCATCGCTTGGCCACCCCTCCTCTTCTTCCATCCACACCCCTGGCGCGCAAACAACACACGTCGCGGGAGTCGGTGGGCTGGCATGCGTAACACGTGGCCGAGCCATCGGAGCCTGATGCGTGAAATAACGGTGCTGAGCGGTTCAGTTCCTTTTCCTGTGCCATAAACGAGGCGTCGAACACGCTCGTTGCTCACGCGGTGTTCCCACCAGATGTGAGCTAAATTACGAAGGCACCGATGGTCGAACGTAACTAGCCTCTTTAAGTCTGCTGCTTTAAGCGGCCAGGTTTCACAACCGTACAGTAGGGTCGAACGTACCGCTGCATTGTACACTCTACCCTTCAGAGCAAGAGTGATGTCGCGCCGGCGCCATAAGTGGCGAAGGTTAGCAAAAGCGCCCCGAGCATTTGCCATACGATTCGTGATCTCATCTTCAATCCCACGGGCGGTGATACAACTTCCCAGGTAGTTGAATTTTTGAACGACTTCTAGCTGATCCCCACAGAGGGTCAGCGTAGGAGGCGGTCCAGACCAATCTTGGAGGAACGCTTTGCATTTCGATGGTGCGAAGCAAAGCCCGAAGTGACAGACAGCTAGTGCTAAGCTGTGCAGTGCTGCTTGGCATGTTTGTGAGCTGCCACAGATTAGGGCAATATCATCAGCATACTCTAAGTCAAGAAGTCGTTCTCCTGGGAGCAGATCCACACCTTCAAAGTCGTGTCCTATGAACGCGATTTCCATGACTTCGTCAACAGCGAAGTTGAAGAGGAAAGGTGACAGCGGGCATCCTTGTCTCACGCCGCTGGAGATATTAAAGGGCGACGACAATTTGCCGTAAGCCCTCATTCTGCCCGAGCTACGCGCATTTAATGCTCGGATAATATTCACATATTTCTCAGGTACACCTTTCCTGAGTAGGCAGTCCCAAAGTGCATGCCTATCCACCGAGTCGAATTCAATTTTGATATCGAGAAACACGACAAGGGTGGGCCGCCAATAAATGTGACGGTGCTCCAAAAACTGACGCCTTCCCCTCCAACCACGATCCCATTATTTAGCTTTATATAATTTTGCATAGTAATTTGTTGATGCACAATAGCCGGCTGGTAGCTTACCGGAACGATGCCCATCCGTTTCCGGTAGCTCAGCTGGCTTGCACCAGTTGCCTTTTTTCTATGTATTGCGGCACGGTAGCTGAGGTGTTCCCCACCTCTAGCTAACGTGTATGATGATGATGATGACTGTAATAGACGGACGCCTGAGCTTAGTGGTGCTCTGTAAGCCACACTGACCGTGTGCAGCTGATAGCCGTCATAGATTCGGCATCACGGTATCTCTGAGGCTCCGTCCTTGTCGCGGAGAGCTTCGATAATGTGTGCCTTGAGGTAGGACCCCGAGTAGAGAATTACTCCGCCCACAGTCCGCCCACTGGAGCGATCTGCTCGTGAGAGTTGATGTCCTGATATGCTAATCTCAGCGTCCTGAATCTCTGGTGATAACCAGGTCCCAGTGAAAGCCAGTAAATCTAGCTGATGCCCAGTAATGCGAAGCGAAACCTCGAGCGTATTTCTGAGGCTGCGTACATTGGCAAATGTCGCTGGTAATCCGTTATGTAGACTTGGAGCTGGGTAACAGAAGGATTGGCGAGTTCTTTGGGTTTTCTGAACAACGCGAAAATCCACACTATGGAGATCAGTTTCGCAGTTCGTTGGCGGCTTTTCATTCTGTCTTCTGTGGAAAGGTCCTTCAGGACGAAGAAAGTTTCTCCTTTGAGACGCGAGGTACGCCTGAGGATGCGGCGACATTCCTCCTCGTTCTGACAGACGACTTTTAGCGGGTGTGTCTTGGATGGATCATTCTGCGTTCTACCTAGACAGTAGGCAGAGACGATGTTGATATCTTGCTCGCTTTCATCGAATAGGGTGGATACTATCCGCTTCAAAAAAAAACTTGGTCGTCAAGAATTCTTTCAGTTGATGATTCTTTGTCGGATTCAGGAGCATTCGTAATTATTAAGCAACGCTCACACGATGCTTTGTTTCCTCCTGCGAGACCTGGCTTTTGTAGGACTGGCTTTTCTTTAATGAGCCGTTCAATTTGGGTAACTGTCAATTATGAGCTCCAGTTGCGTTGGATTAAATTCTGCTTTAGGCCTTGAAACTGCTTTTCTCGTCTATCTTTTGACCAGGTTCATCGTGGATGTTTCTGCAACCTCTATGCCCGCCACAGTCGCACAGGTCCTCCTCTTTGTTTTTGGCTTAGTTGCATCCAACTGGCCCTTGCAGACACTACTCTGCGTTAGTAGTGCACCCTCTGAGGAAGACGAGGTGATCCGGCTTCGACTTTGAGCTGGATTGCCAAGACCGACGGGCAACAGTGTTCCTGCCAACGTTGTGGAGGAGGCACGGCTTCTTTTTCCCTTGGGCGTAGAGTAGCCAGACCCGGGCAGGCACACAGATGAAACAGGTGTTTCGCAGTCAGAGTTAAACAGAGCTTGTGCAGGAGCAGTAGGTACGCTGAGTGAGCGTAAGCTCATCAGAAGTTTTTTGTCGCTAACCACTGCTAGACACGGGTCACAGTGAAAGCTTGTGCCTTTGGAGGCAGTGTGCTGAAGACAGTGGTAGAGATCTTGACCAATGTTACAGCACCCTATGTGCATCCAACTCTCACAGAGGGCGCTCTGGACGGCCTTTGACTGGGAGGTGACACCATTGCCAAAGTCCACGCACTTGGACGTCATAATTTCGGAGAGAAAATTGACAATAGTCAACTTTTGTTGCGGGTTTACTGGAATACTTCTCTTTCTGACATATGGAAAGCATCTGATAGAAGTCAACTTCTGTACTCAGTGTTTATTCAAACACTGTTTTTAACGATATTTCGGCCTAAAAATCGAACCAGTACGGCACATTAAAAAATAGTGTTACCGCATAATACTCACAGAGCATGAGGCACACCAACTTGCCATCCACTGATATGGATTTTCCAATAGACAGGAAGAGAAAAGTAAGTGGCTTTTCTTAAGTAGATGCAATGCCGCTTTTGTTTTCGTTTACGCTCTCCATGCAACAATATCCTAGTTGTGATTCGAGTCTGGAACTTTGTGTCCCTTGGTCTACCATCTTTCTGACCAAACTACTAGGCTGCTCAAGTAACGCTTGTTAACGGGTAATTCTGTCGCATCATAAATTTTTCGTCGAGATCCCCGTTGTGTTTTTGGGCACATATTCCCAACTTCGGCCATTTTCATTGCCGCAGTTGTTGCGACTGAATTGAGCTCACCAAACATCGAACAGACTTGACGCCATTATTTCATCATCAGCACTGCTTTACACTTCTATGTGCGCTCAAGGGTGGGGGGGGGGTATTAACTGTTGCTTTGTGCTGCATCACAGCACCATGTTTGCTCACTGGTAGGTTCCTTCGTTTCTTGTAGTTCTTATTTATCTTTTTATTAACCTTAAAGTTTTTCTACTTGATCTTCACTTAGTCCGTGACAGTCTACACAAACTAATGGATCCGAAATCCGACATTTTGTCTTCCAATCCTCTCATCAAAGCTAATCGTGGTGGAGTAATTATTGCAAAGTATTCAGTTATCATTTGCAGAAACAACCCATCCGGATTCCTGCTTCTTCGAAGAAGCTTAAAGCAGCACAGCAGCTACTTCGGAAACTTAAACATTCCAAGAATGCCTTACGTGTGAGTTACTCATCTTTCTGCTTTTTCCTTAGGGGCCTGGCCTTTTAGCGGTCCAGGATTAAACCTGTTACGCATGTGTTCGCTTGATAAGGTCCCTTTAGCTTCTCCGAAGTTTTGATCACTGACTTTGTTGTTCACTTCTAGTCTGTATTTTTGTATATTTATCACTCAGTACGGTGGCAAAACTTATTACTCATCGTCCCAACTCCCTGTCCAACCCAAAGCATCTATTCCATATCCACTTACCTCAATTTACCTTGGACGCATCACCAGATGCTTGCTGAAACCTGTAGCAAAACACGACCCAACATAATTGCGAAAAAGCACTATTAGAACTATCAACAACTCCATTTGAGATTAGTTACTCCAAAATGGACATCAGATTTTCACTTTTCTGCTTTGTGACAAAACAGTACTCAAGCGAACTTCAAAAACGCTTACTACGAACAGTCGATGCCATTGCGATCTAGTTAATGTAACCTGAACCGGGCAAGCAAAGAGCACTGCTACAAACGCTCCTTTCGCCCTGGCCGTGAATCGACCGTGTACCTCTACTTTCTATCACAAACGGTGACTCAGTAGTCATTATCACCCTCTCGACCGGACTAACGGTTGTGTATTGTGAGCGCGCTTGTGCAAATGTGCCTTTGAGCTGCTGTCACTATGTAGTATGCTTCATGCGTACATCATGCCTCTTCATCGCGGTTTGGTTACACCGAATTATACTTCAACTAGATTTATTCACTCTGGACAAAATCTATTCCAATTTATTTTAGTTGCTCCGTTGTGTGATTCTCCTGCATATTTCGTGTCAATTTCGCGTGTTTATTTTCATTCAAATTCTGTGTTGGTTGTTTGATATCCCCAGTTTGACTTCGATTTGTGTGAATGTTGACAAAGTGCCTACTTATCTAGCACCCTCCACTTCGATTACCGGCTTCAGGAGACTGAATCGTTGCGGGGGTGGGGGGTGGGTGCACGGTCTTCCTGGCCATGCTAGGTTCTAAGTGTGGTTCCATTATTTGTGGAGCGGGCTGCGGCTCAGCCTTCTCCTGGTGTACATCTGGTATGTATGATTCCCAATTTAGCTACATGAGGATGGTGCTGCTGTGCATGTTGTAGGAGGGTCGACCGGTTTTTTTGTTCGACCACCGGTGCCTTCGCAGTTTGGCTCATAGCTGGTGGGAACACCGCGTGAGCAACGAGCATGTTCGATGCCTCGTTTACGGCACAGGAAAAGGGACTGAACTACTCAGCACTGTTATTTCACGCATCAGGCTCCGATGCCTGGGCCACGTGTTGCGCATGCCAGCCCACCGACTCCCTCGACGTGCGTTGTTTGCGCGCCGGGGGTGTGGATGGAAGAAGAGGAGGGGTGGCCAAGCGATGACTTGGTCGAGGGGAATGAAGGCCCTCACTTCTGAGCTGGCCTCGGTTGGAGCGTCTCGGCTCCCTGTCTGGGGCCCGAAGGACGATGAACACGTTTGGTTGGACACACTTGCTGATATGGCTAGGAGCCGACCTCAATGGCGTTCGTGCTGTGAGTTTCTTTGTCCCACCCCATCCCATTTAGCCTCCCCCTCCCCCTCCAACCACGATCTCATTATTTAGCCTTATATAATTTTGCATAGGAATTTTTTGATGCACAGTAGCCGGCTGGTAGCTTACCGGAACGATGCCCATCCGTTACCGGTAGCTCATCCAGCTTGCATCAGTTGCTTTTTTTCTCCTTTTTTCTATGTATTGCGCCACATTAGCTGAGGTGTTCCCCACCTCCAGCTAACGTTTAGTATGATGATGATGATGTGGACCGGTTTCGTTGATGGAACCTGGCTCCCATCCGCATGCCCTTCGGTCTTATTCCTTCCGGTTTACACTTTATATGGGGTGTATGGTTGGAGCTGTGCGTGCTTCAGCGCAAACCATCCATGGTCCCTCGGTAGGCGCAGGCGTCCTGTGGTTGACCACAGTGACAGGCGAATCCGGAACCGGATGCCGCCAACCATCACCATGGATAGGAAAATCAGTCTAACGAACAGTGCAGCCAGTTAGGAATCAGTCAACTCTGGCATAGCTTTACAAGGCTATTGAATTGTTGTAGACTTTTCTTATGTATACGTAATGGCTTGTTACAAGCTATTGAAAAGAATTTTCTTCACTAAATTGATTGTTTACATTTCTATGCGCATATTTCAAGACTAGTTCTTGTCTCATCTTGCTCCGCGCTTGCAACCATCGATTGGAGTCACTCGGATTGGGTTGCCCTATCACGAGTCCTCACTTGGCTCCAGCCTACTTGATTCCTATCAGTCTGGCTTAGGGATCATGTTGTTGAATACTTGCAATACATGTGCTGTTCCTTTTATGTAAGGCGTTTTAACCTCCAATCAGTATTTTCTTACAATCTTCATCTTTCCGTATCTCTGCAGCAGTTTCTTTTTCTTCGACTGTATTTCCCGTATCTAGCGAAGCTCTATATCTACTATTAGACCAGTGCTTCATTAAGTATGTGCATAAACCAGCTGTAGACTGAAAACATGCGACTTTCTTCAGAAACAATGGTCAGAAAGTAAGCAATTGATTTTATGCAATGGCTGTCTAAGCCTCCGCTTCGTGTGTATGATTCTGGTGTGCGGTTTATTCTAATTCGTTTCAACATGTTTTCCATCAAGTCAAGTGATTTAGGAGAAGCTTCGACGATACTTGCGTTGTTCAGTTAAGTCTTACTGTATCGTATCCAGTAGCACTACTGATCGAGAGGATTCCCTCCAATTGCACTCAGTAGATATGTTTTTTCGGCGTGAGGAATTTCCTACACCGCTCCTATTCTTACCGGTTATTGTTCGCGTCACTCACACGAATGTGTTCTTACTGCAATATAATAGGAAAGAGGATTATCAGACAAGTGCTAGTATACGAGCAGTATGCCAGAAGTGTAATTACCAGACCGTCTACTCGTGCCTCAACCATCGAGCAACCTATACGGGGAATGAGTTATCGATTGACATTTGATAACACTTAGTAATCACTAACATGACAAAACAGTGTGTTAGAAATACCAAAAACTTTTTTTATCTCTTCTCCAATTTTGGTCATGGTACTTAGTATGCACATTTATTCCATAGTTTCCGATGGCTCGATGTTTGTACTATATATATGGTTGGCGTCATCCGGTTTCGGATTTGGCTGTCACTGTGATCAGCCACCGGACGACTGCGCCTACAGAGGGACCATGGCTGGTTTGCGCTGCACCACCCACAGCTCCAACCACACACCCCATATCCAGTGTAAACCCGAAGGAATAAGACCGGGGGACATGTGGATGGGAGCCACATTTCAGCAACGGAGCCGGCCCACACTCCTTCACAGGCTAACACAAGCACGCTGTATTTGGGGAAACAACCGCACACAAGGCGGTGGCTGGACCGTAGTCCGCTCCACACTGAGTGCATGGAACCATTTGATCCTAACACGACCACAAGGACCGTGCACCCCGTCCCCTCCAGCAACGACCAACTGTCCCCTAGGGTTAGTATGCATGAAGTAGTGGGTAACAGACAGGTAGGCACCTTGTCAACATGCACATCAAGCGCAGTCACACCGGGGATGTCAAACAATAGGCAATCACTTGAAATGGCATTAGCAAATACAATGTATCTGTTACAGAATACGGCTATGCAGACATAACTCTACCCTAAATTAGCATATGAAGTAAGTTGGTTAGCAACGAATCCACGATAGGTACAAAATGTTCAGAAGTTACTCAAAAATGCTACAAACACAATAAAGTTAACGAAGATTACCACAATTAGCGTAAGCAACGTGGCCAGTTAATAGAAGATTATTCAGGTAGGCAGAGCAAAGCAAATAAATGGAATGGAGTTTATCCAGCTTAAAAATACCTAATTTAACTGTAAGTTGGTTTAGCCCAACTGCGGTGAAGAAGCATCACGAATACAACATCAGCCTGAGCAAGGGGCTTGATAAGTTGTCAGACTGTTCCCCAAATCCCACCCGTCCTAACTGCTTTGTTGTCTTATTAGTGTACAATACTGTTGTTTTAGTCGTACATGACTTTGAACTGGAGAATAGCCAGTCGTCTAGCATTTTCAGCATGTCCCTATACAGCTACTTACGCGCCACCTCAGAATTAGGTAATCAATCTTCAAATTCTCCGAACAGGCCCAATACCAACTAACACGTGCCGGACACTCTGTGTTTAGTATCTCCAACAAAATCCACAACCCATGTTAGAATTCAGCTTTTTAGAATACTCACATACCCCATCCTCGCGTACTATGGTATACTATGCGGCAACATGAGAAAGACCGACAGAATTCCTGTTGAACACCTGCATAGATCGTTTAATAAATTTCTTATTGATAGGCACGCAGCTATGAATTATCTATAGCGTTGTAAGTAACTTCAACTCGAACCACTTTCGATGCGACGATTGAAGTATAACTTGTTGTTGCTTTGAAGCCTACACAGAATTCTACTCCGACTTACCTACACTCGAACTGCGACATAGTTCAACTCGAGAGCTTCGCTACAGTGATTATACACCCAGGTCAGTTGACAATGTGGCGACATTTAGTAACAAGCTCTATTACCTTGATCTGAATACAACAATGACTATATTCACATGGGAACACTCCCTCGATGCGCTGTCCCAAACGATGCCCCAAAACGTGTAAACACTTACATTTCCAAGTTTTGGTTTCGTCTCAGCCATCTACCGAGACGTTACCATATGAATCGCATGTCGCAATTTTGCACATATGCATATCGCCCATGCAAGGACATAGTTACTTTTGCACAAATTGATATGTGTATCGTCACAGACACAGTTTCTCGAATCAGGCGAAATATATGTATTAGTATTATTAGGAGCGTTTTCAGCAGCGCACTAGCACTCTGCGCTACCGTTTCGCTTCCCTGCAAACGTACGTAATCGCACACGCACTGGGACACCGCAGAAGCACCCAGCTCCATGACAAAAGTGGGGAATCGAGTCCGCCTCTACCACTACAATTTTTTTTCTTTTCCGCCCGGAGACCGGGTGTCTGAACGACTTAATGCTACTTTCAAGACATCGGACAGTGATTAGGATATTGTTCTCACCCTATCTTGCTCTGATCATTACATCAGGTTTCAACTCCACAACGGCTAACCTGCTGCTTTGAGTTGCCTCAAGAGTCTGGTTTTACGCTTACCTCATAACCTTCCGGACTGAAACCTGATCGCGAGTAGGTGATTTCACGGAGGACACATCCGCTTGAGATGCTCATTCAAAAGCTTTTTATCATCTCAAGCAGAGATTTCAAGGTGGCAGAGTAAAAGTGCTCTCTCTCTCTACTCATCTAATCGCTGCGCACCATTTTCAATTATGGAATTTCTTAGACTTATCCTATCGGACCTGGTCCAATTGGATTCTGTCTGCAAGCTAGCGTCAATATTGTTATCCCAATATCGAGCCTGTTTCTCCAAGTGACTGCATCACTTCACGGGTCACTTTCACAACACCATAACCCCATGCTCATTCCAAATGTGCTCAACAGCGTTACCTCGTAATTTTTTGAAATTTCAAGGTTTATTCACTCACATTTTGTTTCCGTAACTCCCCAACGTTTTGCTCGCCTATCTTAGTGACCCAGGCGTCAACCTTCATCCACCTCCGACTACTTTGACCTGATCTAAGTCAAAACAACCATGACATCAGTTGGTGGACCACAGTGATTCGGCAGAGTAGCACTTAAACCTCTCCACCATAGCTCCAACCGTTTGTAATGGAACATTCCTGTTGTAAATTTAACTTAGCAATCCAATCGGTTCCGGGCCGATTATTATCCGTACAAAAGGCTGAGTAGATAGTTCCATCGAATTGCAGATTCTTGAGTCTGCGTTCCCAGGTGATTCTTTCTTTCAACTTCAGAGGTTTTCCTGAAACATTTTGAGCCATTAGAATCATAGTTTTTGTTGTAAAGCTGCCTTCGTACTGCCGCACTGCTGCTATTCTGCACCTGCGAGACTACGACCGCCTGAGTGCTCAGTCGCGCCCAACCAACCAAGGCTCGGTAAACAGGGAGTCTATTCTACACGATAGGTCAGTTCTATTTATTGATGAACGAAACATACTAATTTTGGAAGCGTTTGCCTCTCAACCAATGTGATTTAATTCCGTCCCACGGATTTTCCATATTTGGCAGAATGGTTCGCCTCCGTTGACTCGGGCTTGTATTTGCTGGCCAATCAGTTTGCATCCGATTCCCAAATTTGGCAAAACAGTCGAAGGTCGTTCCACGCTTGTGCTGGTGACCTTCGCATGCAGCAAACAGCTCACGTGCTCCGCGGTACACCTGTGCGCGACCTCGTATCTGGACATTGGCTCCGCTTATCTCTCTATTAATTCCTATCACTCTATCTATTCTGTGGATGTAAACCATTATGGTTTAACTTACTTTTATGGCAATAATTCTGCGATCGCTATTTTATTCGCCGCAGCACCCTATGCACCGTCATGTAATGACTTTCCTTGCTGCCCATCTTTCTTCACACACTCCGACAGCTTGTGACTTGCGAGTTTGACCAGCAGTTTCTGCATTCTCCTGGTCTGTTGGGTGCATTCACTCCAAAACTGGAAGTTGGATGGCAGTCTTGCACAATCAATCTGAATGAGTCTGGTTTCCCTGACCTCGATGCTTCTGTGTCCAGACAACTTCCACCACTCATACGGCCAACAGATCCGGCCGTTTTTGGTCGTTCCGGGCCGGTCCCCATATCCAACTCGTTCACATGGACGCGATGCGAACCCCGCCTTGTTTCGGAGTCAGAGGAAGGTAAGTTGGCATACTCCTCTCTTCCCGAGCCGTTACTTCCCCTATGCTCTGCCTAGAGCGTTCTGCGTGCTCTATCTGGATGGTTCAATGGGGCCAATTAGTGCCTACTGAGCTTGGCGCCCGGTATTCATTCTCCAGTATCGCATTCAGACAACTTACTGATTGGGCGGGCGACTGACTACCACTCACACAACCGGTTCCGCCTTTTGCCCCCTATATGTCCTTCTCTAGTTTTGTTTTTCAGCACCGGTGTTTAGGTAACAACCAATATGAGGCCGTAGTCGAGATGAGGATAATTATTTTGCGTTTATCTTAAGCAGTGTACAAACTGGATTCATCATCATCATTATACACGTTGACTGAAGGTGCACAACACCTCAGCTATTGTGCCGCAATACAAAAGAAAAATGTATGAAACGTAGGCACGTCGGCTGAGTCACCGGTACCGGATGGACATCGTTCCGGTGAGCTTACAGCCGGCTATTATGCCGCAACAAAGGAGTCATATTAATGTCTAATGAGATCGTGGTTGGGGAGCGAGGCTAAGCGGGAGGGGGATGGACAAAGAAACTCACAACACAAACGCCATTGAGGTCGGCTCCTAGTCATTTCAACAAGTGTATCCAGCCAAACGTGTTCATCATCCTTCGGTCACCAACCAGGACCCTGAGAGACTCCAACTGAGACCAACTTCGAAGTGAGGGTCTTCGTTCCTCTTGACCAAGCCGTCACTTGGCCACCCCTCCTCTTCTTCCATCCAAACCCCCAGCAAACAAACGACGCACGTCGCGGGACTCGCTGGGCTTACATGCGCAACACGTGGCCCAGCAATCGGAGCGTGCTACGTGAGATAATTGTGCTGAGCGGCTCACTTATTCTTTCTGCATCACATACACGACGCCGAACTCGCTAACTGTTCACGCAGTATTCCCACCAACTGTGAGCCAAACTGCGAATGCACCGGTAGTCGAATGTAACTAGCCTCTTTATGTCTGCTGATCTAATCGGCCAGGTTTCACAATCGTGCAGCATAGTCGGACCTACAGCTGCATTGTACACACTACCCTTCAAGCAGAGTGATATTGCGCAGGCGTCCTTGGTGGCGAAGATTAGCAAAAGCGCCTCGTGCTTTTGCTATACTGTTTGTGATTTCGTCTTCAATTCCAACGGCGCTGATACATCTACCTATGTAGTTGAACTTTTAAACGACTTCTAGCTGACCCCCACCAAGTGGGTTAATGAACAGAGAAAGATGACATTACGAGTCATATAGCAAAAGGTCGATGCGATTTCGCCAATCTCCGCCACCTGTGACGCCAGCGTGACATCAATCTCGCGCTGAAGGGAAGAGTTTACAACGCACCCGTCCGTTCAACCCTCCTGTACGGTGGGGAAACCTGACCCTTCAGATCGACAGACGTAAAGTGATTCATAGCGTTCAACGATCGGTCTCTTCGCAGCTTGCCTCATGTCCGGTGGGAACACTGCGTGGTTGGAACTGTGGGTGGTGCAACGCAAATCATCCGTGGTCCCTCAGTAGGCGCAAGTGTCTTGTGGCTGTCCCCATGGAAGCCGCAGTGACAGGTAAATCCGGAATCGGATGCCGCCAACCAGTTGATACCAAATACCCGGTGACCTACTACGCGCACCCGAAGTCCTTTCCTGCACCGTTGATCCAATGGTCTTCCATCTGATCTGACCAGGAGCACTTTATTTAGTATTAGGGGGATTGATTGCGTTTTTGAGAAGATTCGTTTCAGCTGGATTCAGCCAGACAACCACCACACATCCAGTAACCGTCTTAGAAGCCTACATTCCACCTCGATTTGCGAAGCAATGCAAAATTAGTCGTAGCTTGGGGACCAGCCTTGTTCTCTGCACACTCGACATCATGACAGTGGAGCATGAGCCGCGCTATATCGCAGTTAGATATCAGTCATGGCGGTCCGCTGCCGTCGCTCATGGCTCAGTGATATGTCGCAAAAGTAAGGTCGTGGGTTCGAATCCTGCAAGATTCGGCGGGTGCGCGCTACTGACGAGTCCCAATAGGTCGAAACGGCCGTCTAGCGCTTTCCTGGATGTGTGGTGGCTGTCTGTCTGTGTCTAACTGCGACGAATCTACACAAAAGCCTACTAAATCTCCTACTACTTACAAATAATCAGTAGTCGCCTTAGCAACTTACATGCCGCCTCAATTGGTGGCGGTTTGCAAAGGAAGTCGTTGCTCTGGGGGCCAGCCCTGTCCTCTGCACAATATGGATGACAGTGGTGGATGAGCCGCGCTATATCGCAGTTAAAAATCAGTCATGCCGGTCCGCAACCGTCACCCATGGCTCAGTGGCATAAGTCACTGACTCGCAAGCTTAAGCTCATAGCTTCGAATCCGGCAGGATTCGGCGGGTGCGGGCTACTGACGAGTCCCAATAGAACGAGACGACCGTCTAACGCTTCTCTACGCATGTGGAGTCTGTGTGGTCGAGCCTAGTTGCGACGAACTTTATCAAGCCCTCTTGGTGGCGATCTGTGTTAGTGAGACGGCGATACCCTGCTCGTACTCACTGTGGTGCCTTCAGTGCGCTTAGTGGATTCACCGTAACTTACCTATCTGCGCTCTTAGAAATCATGTCAGTTCCTCTCGTCTCAGCCGGGAAAGCGACTCCACACAACTAAGGTTTATGATCGGATATTTTGGTCATGCTGACATTTGATTCCCAAGGTTGATGAAACAGTTGGTTGACGGATACCTTAAACGCAGTAGATCCAATGTGCGATCTGAAACTAAGTAAATTCCTGTTCCATTGACCTTGCATTTTCACTGCATACTTTCAGTGATTGTTCATAAACCTTGATGTCCCCTAACACTACATTATCGACTTTCTATAGTTGCTTTGGAGGATAGTGTTTAGTGCTATCAACCCGGCGACTACCTTTCAACTGCCCTGTTCCGATCACCATCATGCACGTTAGCTAGAGGTGGGAAACACCTCAGCTACTGTGCCGCAATACACAAAAAGGAGAAAAAATTGCAAATGGTGCAAGCCAACTGAGCTACCTGTACCGGATGGACATCATTCCGGTAAGCTACCAGTGGGCTACTGTGCATCAAAAATAATATAAGGCTAAATAGTGAGATCGCGGTTGGAGGGGAGGCTAAGAGGGATGGGGTGGGACAAAGAAACTCACAGCACGAACGCCACTGAGGTCGGCTCCTAGCCATATCAGCAAGTGTATCTAACCAAACGTGTTCATCGTCTTTCGGACCCCAACCAGGGAGCCGAGACGCTCCAACTAAGGCCAGCTCAGAAGTGAGGGCCTTCATTCCTCTGGACCAAGTCCTCGCTCGGTCAACTCTCCTCTTCTTCTTCCATCCACACCCCCGGCGCGCAAATAACGCACGTCGCAGGAGTCGGTGGGCTGGCATGCGTAACACGTGGCCCAGCCATCGGAGCCTGGTGCGTGAAATGACGGTGCTGAGCGGTTCATTTCCTTTTCCTGTGCCGTAAACAAGGCGTCGAACACGCTCGTTGCTCACACGGTGTTCCCACCAGATGTGAGCTAAATTGCGAAGGCACCGGTGATCGAACGTAACTAGCCTCTTCAGGTCCGCTGCTTTAAGGGACCAGGTTTCACAAGCGTACAGTAGGGTCGAACGTACCGCTGCACTGTGCACTCTACCCTTCAGGGCAAGAGTGATGTCACACCGGCACCATAAGTGGCGAAGCTTAGCAAAAGCGTCCCGAGCTTTTGCTATACGGTTTGTGATCTCATCTTCAATCCCACGGGCTCTGATACAACTTCCTAAGTAGTTGAATTTTTGAACGACTTCTAGCTGATCCCTACCAACGGTCAGCGTAGGAGGCGGTCCAGGCAAATCTTGGAGGAACGCTTTGCACTTCGAAGGTGCGAAGCAAAGCCCGAATTGACGGATAGCTAGTGCTAATCTGTCCAGTGCCGCTTGGCACGTTTGTAAGCTGTCACAGATGAGGGCAATATCGTCATCATACTCCAAGTCAAGAAGTCGTTCTCCTGGGAGCAGATCCGCACCTTCAAATTCGTGTCCTGTGAACGCGATTTCCATGACTTCATCAATAGCGAAGTTGAAGTGGAAAGGTGACAGCGGGCATCCTTGTCTCACACCGCTGGAGATATTAAAGGGCGACGACAGCTTGCCGTAAGCACTCACTCTGCCCGAGCTAATCCCCTGTCCCGAGGGATTTTGGTCGATCTGTTGATTTCTTATTTTGACTGCCTTGCGTATTTACTTCCGATTGCTCGTTGCTTCATTATCCATCCTATCGACCACAACGGCTGAAGACCTCGATTAATCATCCAGACGTTAGCTGAGCTATCCGGTCGATTTGTCACCAGATCTGGATCAGCTCAAATTCGCGCCTTCGTTCTGCATTAGAAACTGGACACCAAGGGAAATGAGTCATTCGGTTTGTAGTCCAGATAATGCATGCTTATAACTAACTCGAGTTGAATTTGACCTCCTCGTGCTACCTTATAGGGTTGCCATTTTTCTCATTTGCGGCCCATGCGCAACATTTGGCCGCCACAGAAACTTAGCTCTCATTGACCCCCTCCCTTATCGAAATGGAGCGAGACGAAGGGCTGGGGATTCGAGCCCGAGTAGTCTTTTGAGAGCCATTAGTCAAGTGAACTGCTAAATCAAACCACTCGTCGTGTAGAAACAAGCTTCCGCCTGGACTCAGCTCGCTTCATTTTTTCATCACTACCCAGCTCCACAACCATGTGGTTGGAACTTCTGTGTCGTGTACTCGGGCCACGGATTAGACTAGTTGGTTGAACTTTATTGTTCGAGTCACACGACGACCACCACCGGTGGTTTACCAGCAACGGATGTAATGCGTCTGTCATCGCTTCACTTTCCATCTATCAATATGCTTTCCTTTGAAAGTTGAACTTGCTGGTTCGAGTGATTCAGCGATTCCTTGGGGAGCCGCAGCTGAATGTTGTGTTTCGCAATAAACTCACAT